AGAGGAACAGAGAGGGAACAGAGAGGGAACAGAGAGGGAACAGAGAGGGAACAGAGAGGGAACAGAGAGGGAACAGAGAGGGAACAGAGAGGGAACAGAGAGGGAACAGAGAGGGAACAGAGAGGGAACAGAGAGGGAACAGAGAGGGAACAGAGAGGGAACAGGAGAGGGAACAGAGAGGGAACAGAGAGGGAACAGAGAGGGAACAGAGAGGAACAGAGAGGGAACAGAGAGGGAACAGAGAGGAACAGAGAGGAGCAGAGAGGGAACAGAGAGGGAACAGAGAGGGAACAGAGAGGACAGAGAGGGAACAGAGAGGAGCAGAGAGGGAACAGAGAGGGAACAGAGAGGGAACAGAGAGGGAACAGAGAGGGACAGAGAGGGGAACAGAGAGGAACAGAGAGGGGAACAGAGAGGGAACAGAGAGGGAACAGAGAGGGAACAGAGAGGAACAGAGAGGAACAGAGAGGGAACAGAGAGGGAACAGAGAGGGAACAGAGAGGGAACAGAGAGGGAACAGAGAGGAGCAGAGAGGAGCAGAGAGGGAACAGAGAGGGAACAGAGAGGGGAACAGAGAGGGAACAGAGAGGGAACAGAGAGGGAACAGAGAGGAACAGAGAGGGAACAGAGAGGGACAGAGAGGGAACAGAGAGGGAACAGAGAGGGAACAGAGAGGGAACAGAGAGGGAACAGAGGAGGGAACAGAGAGGGAACAGAGAGGGGAACAGAGAGGGAACAGGAGGGAACAGAGAGGGAACAGAGAGGGAACAGAGAGGGAACAGAGAGGGAACAGAGAGGGAGCAGAGAGGGAACAGAGAGGGAACAGAGAGGGAACAGAGAGGGAACAGAGAGGGAACAGAGAGGAGCAGAGAGGCTTTAAATAGCTGCAGGACACCAGACCCAGGTGTCCTGAGTTACTGCAATCACTGCAATCCATACAGCACAGACAGGACAGACAGGACAGCCATACCCTGTTGTAGCAAACACTGTGGATGGTGGCTGAAAGCCCCCCCCCTCCGCTACGCGCCGTTTGTTAGATGAGGCTGGTTATATTTAATAAAGAAGGAATTCAAAACACCGGAATAAAGGTTATAACAATAATCTGATTTTACTGGTAAGAAACAAAACACGTATACAAGTTTTACAGAGTACTCTGGACTTTCAATTTCTACTGCGGTGCGATACAGGTATCGGGACCAGCCAGTCAGCAAACAGGAAGCATTTTACATGCAAAAACAACAGTATTCATATCCATATTTTGGGGCGGAGATGTGTTGACTTCTTCCTTCCCATTTTACTCCGAAGCGAATCAGAGAGTCCGTGGGGAGGAGCTGTGTGAGCTGCTCACTCCCCCAGGTGTTTTTACTGGTTGGATTCACTTCTGGTCGGGTCCAATACAGCGAATCAGAGTTCTGGGAAAAAGTATGTTTTCTTCTGAGATTCTGAAGTTCACAAGGACAGAGTCAATCTTATCTCTGCACCTGTATTCACTCCTTTACTTTCCCAAGGAATATTTCACACAAACTATTCTTTCCCAGACAACCAAACATTGTGCACAGATATATTGATGCCCAGAAAGGACCTTAAAAAGAATATGTGTGTGTGCTGGTGGGAGGAGGTGTATGTGTGTGTAACAGGATCTCTGGGTCAGTGAGTTGTAAGTGAGATGGGATTACTTAAAACAGTTCAAACAATACATGTTCACTAAAATACAATTCAAAATAATACATGTTTACTTCAATACAGTTTAGAACCATATCTGTTTACTTTAACCCTCTCTATGATGAACCCACAGGGGCATCACAATGGTAATACTTTCACTCTTGGTCATTTAAGTATTTTTTTACGTAATACTATTCTTGATTTTAGTATTATTTGAATACTTTTACTTTTCACAGTGTATCAACATTGATTTATGACTTACAAAAACTAAAAGTTTAACCATGAAAATGATCTTAAAGAAACCCAAATGTAAGATTCACCATCTAACAAGTTGGAAAAGTAAACGTTTTACAAACAAAGCAAAAACAATATTTTTAGCTTTTGATACTTTTCGTACTTTTAGAAGCTATAACGTTTAGTTTTTGTACTTTAAGTATTATAATCTAATAATAATAATGAAAGATATAGCATGAGGGCGCTAATAAAATACTGCATTAGAGCGAAGCTGGAAATAATAGTGTCTTCATGTGTTAAAGCTGCTGAGTCTTATAACAACACACCCTGCTTCATATGAAGTCTCTGTGAGAACACTCCTCCTGCTCTTTGACCCACTGTTTGAATACATGATTATTACTGAGTGTATTTAGCTCAGGGGAAATCCATGAAGCTCAGCAGATATGATAAGTAGTAATAATGATGATATCAAACTGCAGCTTTAATATCCTAATGGAGTCTTTAGAGAACTGCCTGCAGTGTTCAGAGCAACACAATCCTCATTATCGCTCACTTCATCAGAGGAGTACACAAGTACAATTTAGAGGTACTAGTACTTTACTTGAGTATTTCCATATTCTGCTACTATGTTCTTCTACCCCACTACAGTTCAGAGGTAAATTATGTAATCTAACCAAGTGTTAAATCAGACTTTAGTTCCACCTGGAGTAAATCCACAAGCTACCCTGCAGTATACAAAGTCATTCAAACTAGCTGCACCTTTACCAGCTTTGAGAACACTTTCATGATCAATCATTATAAAACATATCATAGATATTATTCTGAAATGGACCAATCTGCACAACGACTACTTTTACTGTCGCTACTTTCACTATATTTTGATGAGAATACTTTTCTACTTTCACTTGAGGAACATTTTGAATGCAGGACTTTTACTGTAACAGAGTATTCCTACACTCTGGTACTTCTACTTTTACTCAAGAACAAGATCTGAGTACTTCTACTTTTACTCAAGTACAAGATCTGAGTACTTCTACTTTTACTCAAGTACAAGATCTGAGTACTTCTACTTTTACTCAAGTACAAGATCTGAGTACTTCTACTTTTACTCAAGTACAAGAACTGAGTACTTCTACTTTTACTAAGTACAAGACCTGAGTACTTCTACTTTTACTCAAGTACAAGAACTGAGTACTTCTACTTTTACTCAAGTACAAGATCTGAGTACTTCTACTTTTACTCAAGTACAAGAACTGAGTACTTCTACTTTTACTCAAGTACAAGACCTGAGTACTTCTACTTTTACTCAAGTACAAGACTGAGTACTTCTACTTTTACTCAAGTACAAGACCTGAGTACTTCTACTTTTACTCAAGTACAAGAACTGAGTACTTCTACTTTTACTCAAGTACAAGACCTGAGTACTTCTACTTTTACTCAAGTACAAGAACTGAGTACTTCTACTTTTACTCAAGTACAAGATCTGAGTACTTCTACTTTTACTCAAGTACAAGAACTGAGTACTTCTACTTTTACTCAAGTACAAGATCTGAGTACTTCTACTTTTACTCAAGTACAAGAACTGAGTACTTCTACTTTTACTCAAGTACAAGACCTGAGTACTTCTACTTTTACTCAAGTACAAGACCTGAGTACTTCTACTTTTACTCAAGTACAAGAACTGAGTACTTCTACTTTTACTCAAGTACAAGATCTGAGTACTTCTACTTTTACTCAAGTACAAGAACTGAGTACTTCTACTTTTACTAAGTACAAGAACTGAGTACTTCTACTTTTACTCAAGTACAAGATCTGAGTACTTCTACTTTTACTCAAGTACAAGAACTGAGTACTTCTACTTTTACTCAAGTACCAGACCTGAGTACTTCTACTTTAACTCAAGTACAAGACCTGAGTACTTCTACTTTTACTCAAGTACAAGACCTGAGTACTTATACTTTTACTCAAGTACTAGACCTGAGTTCTTCTACTTTTACTCAAGTACAAGATCTGAGTACTTCTACTTTTACTCAAGGACAAGATCTGAGTACTTCTACTTTTACTCAAGTACAAGATCTGAGTACTTCTACTTTTACTAAGTACAAGACCTGAGTACTTCTACTTTTACTCAAGTACAAGATCTGAGTACTTCTACTTTTACTAAGTACAAGATCTGAGTACTTCTACTTTTACTAAGTACAAGACCTGAGTACTTCTACTTTTACTCAAGTACAAGATCTGAGTACTTCTACTTTTACTCAAGTACAAGATCTGAGTACTTTAACTGTTGGTACTTTAAGTATATGTTGATGCATATATATATATATATTTAATCCCTTTAGTTACTTTACAGATGAATGATGTGAAATATAAATCAGACTTTAGAAGAAGAATGAATCCGCAGCTCGTTTCGCCTCCACAATCTTTTTTTGATTTTTGCAGATCGTCGTGTCGCTCCCCGTCGCTCCTCGTTTTGTTCCTCACATCGTGATGCGTCTCCTCAGCGAGCCTCTGTGATCCTGCGTGGGGGTTTATAAAAACACAAACAGCCGATCTGTGTGGACGTGATGGAAACAATGCAAATAAGATATTAAAAATTAGATAAAATTCTGCATTCTTGGACCGATTTACTGACAAATGAAAAATATTGCTTTTTACTTTATTTGGAGAAAAGGTTATTTTAGCGCATCTCATCCTTTCTAGGCCATGTGTGTGTGTGTGTGTGTGTGCGTGCGTGCGTGCGTGCGTGCGTGCGTGCGTGCGTGTGTGCGTGCGTGTGTGTGTGCTTCCTGTCCTTCAGAGACTCCAAACTACTGCTGCTGGTTTATAATGAAATGAATTGTTTCACCATGAACCACCTGGTCTGCTTTCTGTTCAGAACCAGAACTAAAAATGGAGAAATTCAGTTATCATGCTCCAAATATCTGGAACAAACTCCCAGGTCCTTTTAAACCCAGGCTTATAATGTGTTTCTGCTGCACTATTTCTTAGCGCTATTATTTTAAAGCACTTTGAATTGCTTGTGTTGAAAAGCTGCTATATAAATAAACTTGCCTTGCCTTGTGATGCATTGACTTCCTTACCTCTATCCTCTGTCCCTCCAGCTGTACATCCAGACCACCACCCTCACCATCTCCATGAACCTGAGTGCGTCCGTGGCCCTCGGGATGCTCTTCATGCCCAAAGTCTACGTCATCATCTTACACCCGGAGCTCAACGTGCAGAAGAGGAAACGCTCCTTCAAGGCCGTCGCCACCGCCGCCACCATGTCGTCCCGCCTCTCGCACAAAGCCAGCGACCGGCCCAACGGAGAGGCCAAGACCGAGCTGTGTGAGAACCTGGACCCCAACAGTGAGTTCACAAAACAGGGTCTTCAACATGTGAAAGAAACCAGATTAAAATAATGTGAATAGAGTGGTCTGTGTTAGACCGTGAAGGACGCTGACAAGGTAGACAAAAAAAGCAACATCCTTTAAAAAAAAACACATTTTAAAGCAAAACATGATTAAAATGAGCAAAACACCTGAAGTTATTATTTATAAATTGATTGAACAGAGACTAGCATTAGCAGCAGCATTAGCAGAAGCAACTCTAGCATTAGCAGAAGCAATATTAGCATTAGCAGCAACAGAAGCAACACTAGCATTAGCTGCAGCATTAGCAGAAGCAATATTAGCATTAGCAGAAGCAATATTAGCATTAGCAAAAGCAATATTAGCATTAGCAGCAACAGAAGCAACACTAGCATTAGCTGCAGCGTTAGCAGAAGCAACATAGCATTAGTATTCATATTCATATTTTGTACAATCTGTAAAGTCCACTGAGACAAATGTACCATTTTTGATATTGGGCTATATAAATAAACATTGATTGATTAGCAGTAGCAACTCTAGCATTAGCAGAAGCAATATTAGCATTAGCAGCAACAGAAGCAACACTAGCATTAGCAGCAGCATTAGCAGAAGCAACTCTAGCATTAGCAGAAGCAATATTAGCATTAGCAGCAACAGAAGCAACACTAGCATTAGCAGCAGCGTTAGCAGAAGCAACATAGCATTAGTATTCATATTCATATTTTGTACAATCTGTAAAGTCCACTGAGACAAATGTACCATTTTTGATATTGGGCTATATAAATAAACATTGATTGATTAGCAGTAGCATTAGCATTAGCAGAAGCAACATTAGCATTAGCAGAAGCAACATTAGCATTAGCAGCAGCATTAGCATTAGCAGTAGCATTAGCGGAAGCAACTCTAGCATTAGCAGAAGCAACATTAGCATTAGCAGCAGCATGTGTGTAAAACATTGGGTTTGCTGGTAACACGTCACTATCTCAGTTTGAGTTATTGTTACTTTTCCCAACATGAAAACAGCATCATTAGCATCAGCGCTAGCAGCAGGTGGAGCATTGGCAGTAGCATCATTAGCATTAGTAACGGCATTAGCAGCAGGAAATCTCATTTTATCTTTTCAAATATTGAACCTATTTCTCTAACTACTTCTCTTCTGAAATATTAGACAAACATGAAGAAACCTAATTTCCTGCTCTGATGCTCCACAGGACATCAGTTATAAAAGAGCTTCAATGTTTGCAGAAATGAAAGAAGGCACATATTGAAATGACATGTGACCCCCTCTCAGTGGGACCCCTCTCAGCACCTCTCACCAAACACTGTTTTCTCCCCTCGACAGGTTAATTTCATAATTGATCAGAGGTAAGAGCAAATGAATCTTCTTCTGCTTGGCTGTGCTGACCTTCATCTGCTGGAGGGGTTTGATTTTGGGGTGTTAGGTATTCCTCCGCTGCTCTTTACACCATCCTTCTATAGAGCGGTGCAGTGACGAGTCCTAAAACCAGGAAGTGAGTCAGCATTTCACCACTTCCTGTTCCCTGGTCTCAGAGCCAATGGGATCTCTCCATAGGATTTAGGAAAATAGCTGAACTAAGGTCTGTGGTTGAGATACATTGAAGAGACGGGTCACGTTTTGTTCTAGGACATTAAATCCATCAGCAGTGACCCCTCTGGTGATTTCTGAAGAGTTGACGTGTCTGAAAAACGATGGTTGTTACCAAGTGGCTGAATAGGACTACAGAAGTTGTGGAGGACGTTGTACGTCATTACGCCGAACACGTTAACACTCCTCTAAGTTAGTTTAGCCCTGTTCTGCTTGAAAGCAAGTACCTGCCTCCTGCTAACTGTTCAAACAAACGCTTCAACTCGTTCCATTTAGAATCTGTATGTTTGAATATGGATCTGAAGTTGGCGTGACGTTGAAGTCGTGCTGCTGGACTCGCCTGTAGTTCCTTTATAGCATCACGTTAGCATGTTGCTTCTGGAGATTAGAGTTATGATTCGAACATTATAAAAGTAGAGTAGACATGTGGAGATTATCCGGCTGAACAAAACGTGCATTTATCAAACAGGTTCGTTTTCACAGATCTTATTTCCAGCTATTTTCCAAAATCCTATGGAGAAATCCCGTTGCTTTTTTGTCGAGGGAACCAGCAGCTTACTTCAGGGTGAATACGTCATCCCTGCACCGCTCTATTGGCTCATAACTCGACATGAGGAGACGATGGGACCGTTTGAGGAGCAGATTTACAGTTTCTGCTGCTATCAGGACATTAAACTCTGCACGAGGCATGCTGCAACCAGAACGCAGTACATGTACTCAAGCACTGTACTTAAAGGGGACCTATCATGCAAAATGCACTTTTGTACGTCTTTTCTACATGAATATGTGTCCCCGGTGTTCCAGGGAACTCACCAAGTGTCAGAAAACACAACCCTCTCTATTTTCCTCCATACCCACATCTCTAAAAAAGGGGCTGCAACGGATCTGATAAAAACTGATCCAGATTTGAACACTGTCCTGACGTCAGGACGGTGGCGCTACGGCTATTGGGCCAACTCCACCAATCAGGAGGAGACAGCCACGGCCATTGCCGTTCCAAAGCGCTGGAGATGCTGTAGTACATATGCCAGGCCTGTATGTGGTGCTGTTCTCACTGAATCAGCCCTTGCTAAAACAGGGGTAAAAAAGTGCAAATTGAGCAAAATGAGGCATGGCTAAAATGCATGATCTGTTTGGTATTTTGAAAAACAAAACGTATAAATATGCCTTATATAGGTATGGTCCTACACTATATTATTCAAATATAGCATGATAGGTCCACTTTAAGTACAAGTTTGAGGTACTTGTACTTCACTTGAGTATTTTCACGGTATGCTACTTTTTACTTAACTACATTTTGGAGGCATTTTTTTTTACTCCACTACGTTTTCTTTTACAAATTGAGTTAATAGCTACTTTGCAGGTATGGATTTATAATATAGAATATAAATCGTTATGTATTATTTAGGGCTGTCAAGTTAACGCGTTAATAACGCGTTAACGCAACATTTTAACGCCACTAATTATTTTAACGCGATTAACGCATGTGTATTTTTTGTCCTCGGCCGCCCCGTAGTTTCAGAGCGAGTTTAAAACACCATCTACAAGCTGATGCTGACAGCCCCGCTCCTGCTGCCCGCTTGTGGCAGACCACACTTCCACGCTCACCGGCAGGCCCGGACTGGCCATCGGGAGGACCGGGAGGGGTGTGTGTATGTGTGGCGCGAGCGAGGCACACCTTACGTGTTGTTGTTGTTGTTAGCATCTGGTGCTAGCTAGCTGCGCTAACGGATATAAGGAGCTGTTTCAATGAAAACAGAAGAGCGACATTTCGCCGAGCACTTGACTTGATGCAGGTCGCCAGACAGTGGGACATTGTACGAGAAGTCAGCACACTCAGCACGGATAGTGCGCGCAACATGATTGCAGCGTCCACACACACACACACACACACACACACACACACACACACACACACACACACACACACACACACACACACACACACACACACACACACACACACCCCCCCCCACACACCCCCCCCCCCCCCCCCCCCCCCACACACCCCCCCCCCCCCCCCCACACACACACACACACACACACACACACACACACACACACACACACACACACATGTAATGTTCAGGTTGTTGTGTTTAATATTCATGAGAATATTTGTCATTGTTCAAATGATAATAAACAAACATATAAAGCATATTTGTCCACTCATATGTTGATAAGAGTATTAAAAACTTGAAAGATATCCCTCTAAGGTACATTTAGAACAGATACAAAAAGTGTGATTCCTTTGCGATTAATCGCGATTAACTATTTTAATCGACTGACAGCCCTACTATTATTATAGGTAAGTAATTGAAATAATCTCCACCTTTACCAAGTGAACACAAATGCATGTATATAATTATAAAACAAACATGTAATATTAGATCTAATATGGACTAAGATAAGATAAGACAGGACTTACAAAAATCCAATAAACACAGCAGCATAATAATAAAGCTGTACGCTAACAGTGCAGTAAAAAGAGCAATTAAATATCTACAGGAAACAGACAGTCACACAATTAATGTGAAATACTGTGAAAAGCAGTATTTACCTATACTGGAAAATGAGTGCTTTTACTTTTCCCCTCATCATGTCAACAAGCCACATGTGGGACAAAGAGTGTGTGTGTGTGTGTGTGTGTGTGTGTGTGTGTGTGTGTGTGTGTGTGTGTGTGTGTGTGTGTGTGTGTGTGTGTGTGTGTGTGTGTGTGTGTGTGGGACATTTTACGCCTTTTACTAGGTTTTTTTGTTTGAACAAACGATGCAGGTAAAGGACTTACATATATTTGGTTTGAATGGATTTTTTTCCCAACAAAACATCGCCCCTCGCCGGTTACACCCAATCAAATACATTTGTAGACTTTGTTGATTGATTGACATCTGACACAGCTAATGGGGGACATCGTCTCAATTTGTGGGACAAATGATTATAATAAATAACAAAGTGGGACACCTGGGGCCACACACACGCACCTACACCACACACACGCACCTACACCACACACACGCACCTACACCACACACACGCACCTACACCACACACACGCACCTACACCACACACACGCACCTACACCACACACACGCACCTACAGCACACACACGCACCTACACCACACACACGCACCTACAGCACACACACGCACCTACACCACACACACACACACGCACCTACACCACACACACGCACCTACAGCTCCTAAAGCATATCATCAAGCTACAGCCGTTGTGTATTTTATTTTGTGAAGCACTAAATGGTTTTAGAAACATCTGGACTCTTTGTTTGTAGATATCTACTAAACTAAAGCAAAGAGAGTAGGCCTGTTATACTGAGTGATATATATGATACACACTGCTCTGCTTTCTGCACGGACCTCACAGCTGTTCTCTCTGGAAACATTGCGTCGCGATGAAAGCAGTTACTAAAATAATATCCAGGGGATGCATGCAGAGCTGTGATTGGCTGAGATCAGTCCGGCCGTGCGTCACGACTCTTTGAAACATCTCTGTTCCCGGAAATGCATCCACGAAGGAGCCGTGGAGGACCGTGGAGGACCCATCAGTGTCTCCTCGGTTAGAGCTCCTCCAGAGAGCCTCCTCCACGCTCGATGCTCGATCCTCGATGTGCATTTAGAGAAATGAGATGTCCTTCAACATGGCGCGCTGAAATTCATTTCCGGGTCACTACCGGAGGACCGAGGAGTCGAGGAGTCGAGGAGTCGAGGAGTCGAGGAGTCGAGGAGTCGAGGAGGGGGATTTGATGAAATGAGAAAGGCCCCTGGTCCCCCTTTCCTCCATGCTGCAGCTCTACCACAGTCACACACTACAAAACACCCTGCAGATCCACTTCCTCCAGTGTTTCATGCAATTTACAAGACCGGTTAGATTTCTGTTTTATACTCTACAAAAACTCGACATCTTGCCAAGTATAAGTGTCTAATATCTAGTCAGAGTATGTCTCTCCACCTGATGTAAGACATCATAACTTCAGAAGTAACACTGCAGTGAGATATCAGGTCTTGTTTTTAAGAGCAGCAGCATAAGCATCAGCTTTAAAAGACAAGACAAGGCATTGCACATAAGTAGAAATTAAAGAGTAGAAATAAACAATACTAAAATGTAAACATCTCGAAATAGAATTAAAACAATGTTAAAAAGTAGGAAATATATAGTAGAACGTGAAGATAAAAGATCTATAAACTCTGACAATAATTGAACGGCTTTAGACACGATATAAAGCAGGATATTATTGACATTAAGAGTGTAGGGAAGGGTATACTAAAGTAAAATGTAGCAGCAACTTGTTCATCCTCCAGGTTGAAATCCTCCCTCTCTTAACGGCCCTCAGTTTCTTCAGATGGCTTCATCTCTGCTCTCTGATTCCCCGACAACAGAGACTTCTATATCTCTCTCACGGCTCTCAGCCTCTCTTCAGAATCCTCACAAAGGTTTCTGTATCTCCGTGAAACTCCGATAACCCCGGCTGCTCTCAGAAACAATCCTTACAGCGTTTCTTCCAAATCTCACACTTTCTGCAGCTCAGGAACTCTGCAGGTGTGTTTCTGGGGATTAGCCTTTCTCACCTGGACGGAGGCACTACTGAGAAAAGGAAGAACAAGACCAACAGTTTGGAGATTTGGAGAAAAAAAAGAGTCAGAGTTTTGAGGAAAAAAGTCAGAATTTTGAGACTTTCAGAAAAATACAGGTTTTTGAAATGTTGAATTTTTTTTTGCAAAAACTCATTTTTTTTTGTCGTCAGAATTTTTTCAAAAAAGTCAGAATTTTTTGAAAAAAAGTCAGAATTTTTTGAAAAGTAAGAATTTTTTGAAAAAAGTCAATTTTTTTTTTTAAAAAGTCAGAATTGTTTGAAAAAAGTCAGAATTGTTTGAAAAAAGTCAGAATTTTTTGAAAAAAGGCATTTTTTTTTTAAAAAAGTCAGAATCTTTTGAAAAAAGTCAGATTTTTTTGAAAAAAGTCAGATTTTTTTGAAAAAAGTCAGAATTTTTAGATAAAAGTCAGAATTCTGAGACTTTCAGAAATCAAAAATCTGGATTTGAAATTTACAGAAAATCAGTATTTTGAGAAAAACTGCAGAATTTTGAGAAAAGATTCCGCATGTGATCTCGGTGCCTCTTCACATTGTAGGCGTTATTTATACTGGGGATGCTGCTTCCACCACTTTTAGGAATGTCTAATTTTCCGATATAAAGTCATTATTTTGAGGATACTGCGTCATTATTTGGACTTAATTGTCATTATGTTGAAATACTATCTTATAAATAGGAGATACAAAAAAAAACACACATTTAATAACAAGAAGAGCCATTTATGTCTTTCTTCCATAGTTTATATCACAGACTCTGCTTTGCATCTACTTTTGGTGAGAGACAATCATTTCTGATTTCCCTTTATGGACTCAATTTAATAACTCCAGCTGTTAGACAGAATAAAACCCTCCTCTTCACGCTTCATAAAAAAAGACTCATTATAAAAGACCCCCAGACACAAACTGTCCACCAGACTCAGACAGTTTCATCCCACAGGCCATAAGACTGTTAAACTCCTGAACTCTGTGAAGAACATCCATAACATTCATCTGTTTGCATTTTGCTAATTATCTCTAAATATTCCATTAACTTGTATATAGACTCTTCTTACACTATTTATATTTTATTTGTATTAACTTGCACATCTCAAAACATTCTCTTGCACTATTTGATCTGTTTCAGTTCAGACTTCAGTTTTTCATTGATATATCTCCACTGTAGCTGCTGTGAACGAACGGGCCTCCTAGAGCACCTGGAACCGAGGGAAACTCTGAAAGAACACGCCCATTGGCTACAAATCAATATATGATTGGTTGATCAAACTGTCAATCCAAACGCTCTCATTCAGTGTGAGGGCCAGGGCCTTCTATCAAGGATAGAGAATACCTGGCTAAAGGATATTCTACCCAGAGACCCAGAACAACATCTGATTGGTTGCATTTCCTTTCTAACACAATTCTCTGAATACCTTGAAGGCCCTGACGGTTCACCACTGACGTCGCCCAGTGTCCGTGCAAAGCAGAAACCACATTGTAATGCTAACCAAGACACGCTGTCACACATGACAATAAAGCCTTGAATCTTGAATAATGTTGGACTGCTCTTCCTCTCCGCGGACACTAAGCTCTAAAGACTCCTCTCTTTATGAAGAAGACACGTTACGATAAAAGTCAGCTTTAATATGCATATTCTGCCATTTCCTCTTTTATCACCCGCCATGATTGATGATGGGCTTCTGGCTCCGAGCCGTTTGTCATCGAGGTTCAGCGTTAGATGAGGGGGGGTGGGGCGCTGCAGGGGGAGATAGGGAGAAGGTCAACACTAAAGGGTACTGCTCTTTAAAACAGGCCTGTTCTTCTTCTGTGGTGTTCCCTCTCATGTAGTGTGTTCTTTAGGTGTTAGTGCATGTAAATGGTCTGCTGAGGCTGGAATCTCTCCCACACAAAGAGAGCTATTTGTTGGTATTTCAGTGAAAATGAAGTCATCTTTATCTCATGATTTTTTCTAAAGATCAACGCACAGAAGTTGAAAACAAACACGAATGATTTTTTAAATGTTGGTGGTGTTATTACTGTCAGTGATCTCAGGCTCTGCAAACGGCACAATCCTCCTTCATGATTCAAACCGTCTGTTTTAGCTTCTAACATTTCATTTTCATGCAATCATAAACTCTCGTTTCTACGGAAGAAGATAAGGGCGACATGTGAAACGTTTTTTTAGAGCTAACCAGAAATGAATTTTTCGCAGAACTTTGAGATTTTCCGTGAAAAATAATAGAATTATTTTTTTCTAGAAATTGTAACTTCTGACAATTTTTTAAGAAAAAATGTGTTATAAGAAAAAAGTAAGAATTCTGACTTTCTGGGGAAAAACATTTAATATGTTTTATCTCAAATTTCTGGCTTTTTTTCTGTGAATTTTGAGATTTTCCGTAAAATTCTCAAATTCTGATTTATTTTGTGTAATAAAGTGTTTTTTCTTCAGAATTCTGAGGAAAAAAAGACAGACTTTTGGGGAAAAACATATTTACATTTTTGGGGGAAATGTAAGAAAAATGAATAAATATATATTTACCTCAAAATTCTGACTCTCACAAAAAATGTCACTTTGGTCAGATCTCAACAAATTGTCCACATTTGGCCCTAATCCTCTTCCGTACATTTCCCATTGATCTCAACACTAACCTCCAGCTACACTAACAGCCAAAAGACCTGACTGGAGAGCTCATATTTCATTCTCCTTTTTCTCCTCTTATTCAGGTCCGGCAGCAAAGAAGAAATACGTGAGCTACAACGACCACGAGATCTGAAGCCATCGAGCGAGAGACTGAGAAACTGAGAACCAGGAAGAAGAGTGTGTTCCCGCCCTGCCGGCTGAAATCAAGGAAAGGGAGGAGACGGGAAAGCAGGAGGGTTTATGTTATTGTTCGTTTTTCTGGTATCATGTGCTTCATTGCCCACCGCGGACTTTCAGGAGCTGAAGCAAAGCATGCTGGGACTTTCCTCTGGACTTTGAGCGCATTTACAAAGAGAGGCGAGCGAGCAGTTTGTTGTCGATGGTAAAAAATAAATCATTGTGTCCGTGATGCAGAGAAGGAACATGGCGGACGTCTTCTCTCCGCCGTTGATGTCAAACGAAGCCTCCTCTCGTCTTTAAACCGACTTCCTGTCCTCCCGAGTGTGGCTCTTTATGGCTTATATGTTCTGGTTGTTGCTTTACTTTCCTCTTCACGGTTTCTTTCAAGGCGATGATGGTTTTGACGTTGTTGATGAGTCTATTTTTGCTCTCTGCTTCTTGGATGCGCATTGTTTTTTTATTGAAGCCATATTCTCTGCTTTGAGATTTGGAGGGCTTTGTGGCGCTACCAACAGGAATCTGATTTCTGCCAACGTCTCTGAAAGGCCCTGAAAACAGGATTCATAATCTGCTTAATACTGCGACGAGCACACAAATACAACTCTGATTAGCACAAGGGTTTTCCAAAGATCTCTGCAAACCATTTCTGTTTAAAGTCAGGAAGAATTGACGTTGAAACATGGATGAAATTAAACCTTTCTTACTATTATTTGGGGACTTCTGTCAACAATGCTATTTGTACAATGATGTCTATAGTCAACAATGATGTCTATAGTCAACAATGATGTCTATAGTCAACAATGATGTCTATAGTCAACAATGATGTCTATAGTCAACAATGAACAATGATGTCTATAGTCAACCATGTCTATAGTCAACAATGATGTCTATAGTCAACAATGAACAATGATGTCTATATTCAACAATGTCTATAGTCAACAATGATGTCTATAGTCAACAATGATGTCTATAGTCAACAATGATGTCTATAGTCAACAATGATGTCTATAGTCAACAATGAACAATGATGTCTATAGTCAACAATGATGTCTATAGTCAACAATGTCCAAGTCAACAATGATGTCTATAGTCAACAATGAACAATGATGTCTATAGTCAACCATGTCTATAGTCAACAATGATGTCTATAGTCAACAATGATGTCTATAGTCAACAATGATGTCTATAGTCAACAATGAACAATGATGTCTATATTCAACAATGTCTATAGTCAACAATGATGTCTATAGTCAACAATGATGTCTATAGTCAACAATGAACAATGATGTCTATATTCAACAATGTCTATAGTCAACAATGATGTCTATAGTCAACAATGATGTCTATAGTATAGTCAAACAATGAGGTCTATAGTCAACAATGAACCAATGATGTCTATAGTCAACCATGTCTATAGTCAACAATGATGTCTATAGTCAACAATGAGTCTATAGTCAACAATGATGTCTATAGTCAACAATGAACAATGATGTCTATATTCAACAAATGTCTATAGTCAACAATGATGTCTATAGTCACACCATGTCTATAGTCAACAATGATGTCTATAGTCAACCAATGATGTCTATAGTCAACCATGTCATAGTCAACAATGATGTCTATAGTCAACAATGATGTCTATAGTCAACAATGATGTCTATAGCTCAACAATGATGTCTAAGTCAACAATGAACAATGATGTCTAATAGTCAACAATGATTGTTATAGTCAACAATGATGTCTATAGTCAACAATGATGTCTATAGTCAACAATGATGTCTATAGTCAACAATGATGTCTATAGTCAACAATGAACAATGATGTCTATAGTCAACAATGATGTCTATAGTCAACAATGATGTCTATAGTCAACAATGATGTCTATAGTCAACAATGATGTCTATAGTCAACAATGATGTCTATAGTCAACAATGATGTCTATAGTCAACAATGAACAATGATGTCTATATTCAACAATGTCTATAGTCAACAATGATGTCTATAGTCAACCATGTCTATAGTCAACAATGATGTCTATAGTCAACAATGATGTCTATAGTCAACCATGTCTATAGTCAACAATGATGTCTATAGTCAACAATGATGTCTATAGTCAACAATGATGTCTATAGTCAACAATGATGTCTATAGTCAACAATGAACAATGATGTCTATAGTCAACAATGATGTCTATAGTCAACAATGTCTAAGTCAACAATGATGTCTATAGTCAACAATGAACAATGATGTCTATATTCAACAATGTCTATAGTCAACAATGATGTCTATATTCAACAATGTCTAAGTCAACAATGATGTCTATAGTCAACAATGATGTCTATAGTCAACAATGATGTCTATAGTCAACAATGATGTCTATAGTCAACAATGATGTCTATAGTCAACAATGATGACTTTAGTCAACAATGATGTCTATAGTCAACAATGATGACTTTAGTCAACAATGATGTCTATAGTCAACAATGATGTCTATAGTCAACAATGATGTCTATAGTCAACAATGATGACTTTAGTCAACAATGATGTCTATAGTCAACAATGATGACTTTAGTCAACAATGATGTCTATAGTCAACAATGATGACTTTAGTCAACAATGATGTCTATAGTCAACAATGATGACTTTAGTCAACAATGATGACTATAGTCAACAATGATGTCTATAGTCAACAATGATGTCTATAGTCAACAATGATGTCTATAGTCAACAATGAACAATGATGTCTATATTCAACAATGATGTCTATAGTCAACAATGATGTCTATAGTCAACAATGATGTCTATAGTCAACAATGATGTCTATAGTCAACAATGATGTCTTTAGTCAACAATGCTAATTGCATCTGGATGTCTTTAGTCATCAATGCAATTCATTCGTTTTTTTAGACATCTCAACGCAGAAATATTACGTATTACAACTTAAACTCAACGGAGATTTGAAGCCATGTTTTCAGGGCCTTTATCTTTGTGATTCTGAATGTGCATGAGACCGGGATGCCTCCGAACTTTTAGTGACTCTTTGATTACGTGACTGGGAATGAGATCTTTGTCTCAAATACTGTAATGCCTTTAAAAAAAAATAAAAATACGTCAGAGATGTGCTTTCTGTTTAACGTTTCCAAATAACTGACGTGGGGAAAATCAGATTCCTTCAGCGGACACGAAGCAACAAAAAAAAAGAAAAGGCCCTGGCGTGTTTTCTGTTGGAGCCGTTTGAAATGTTTGTGGTCCCATGATGGAAGCCCCCCCCCCCTCTTGTGTGTCCCTACATGACGACCTCTCAGTAATTTGTGATGTTGACGATGATGAAGATGACCCTTAACTGTGTTGTTAAAGAGCCTCTGGGGGTCCGGACCTCGCTGGATTCCCGGTGATTTCCCGGTCTGCTGATCCAACTCAACGTGTTGATGTCGAGGTTGTCAATGCATGCCTGATATGTTCGATGTTGAATCCGATTTAAAAAAAAATAATAATAACGAAGTCCTCACAACTCGGTTTGATTCCACCTGTCTGCTCTGAACTGTACTGTTTTTAATTTCCTTTCCGTTCCTTTATTCCACTTTCTCTCACAGCAGAATATGGCTTTGATTGGTTTCTTATTTTCCTGGAAACTACGGGAAATGGAGAAAAAAGATGAATATATATTTAAAAAAACAAAGAATACTTGTTTTAAAAAAGCCGGAAGCATGTATGTTTTCTACTGTTTGTACTCGGTATATTCATGTTGCCCTTGCTGCTTATGTGCCAATGTTGTTGAGAGATTTACATTCGGCCACTCATGCAACTATTCTGTGGTGTTGTCCAAGAATGTATCAACATGAAATAAAAAACATTTGGTTATTTTTTTATATATATTCCCTGAGGAAATGCAGTGGTGCTCGTGTCTTACTCTTCTGTTGCCTTTCAGAACAGTTTCATTTATTTAGTCATGTAATTTAGTGAAGTATTACTCTGAAATATTTTTCGCTCAGAATTTGGAACATTTTTTCCAGACATTTTTGGGAAAAGTCAGAACTATTTTCCTTCTCAGAATGTTTACTATCTCATAATTCTGAGATCGCAAAAATGACTTTTTCTGAAATTTCTAAAAAAAATATTAACATTTTTTTTCTTTACATTTTAACACTTTTTACTCAGAATTCGAAGATATCCCAAAAATATTAGTCAGAAATACTTTTTTTCTCTCAATATTTTGATTTTTCTTTCCAAGAATTCTCAGATTTAAGTCAAAATTCATACTTTTTAAGAATTCAGAGATTTTCAGAAAGAAGACTTTCTCAGAATTCTGATATTCTGTTGCCTTTCATAAGTTTCATTTAATTACAGTGGTGTAACTTACTGAAGTATTACTCTGAAATATCTTTGCCACAGCATTTAAACTTTTTTCCTCAGAATTCTGAGATTTTCCAAAAAAGTCAGAATATTTTTTTTGGTCTGAATTTCTTTTTTTCCCCTCAACAATTCAGACATTTTCAAAAAAGGTCAGAAATGATTTCAGTCTCAGAATGTTTCACTCTTTTTCTCAGAAATCTGAGGTCGTTACTCAGAATCTTTCAAAATTATTTAATTTGAAAAATTTGAAATGTTCCCAAAAACTTTTTGAAAAAGTTAGAATTTTCTGGAAAAGGTCAGAACATTTTTTCTTAGAATTTTCACTTTTTACTTGCAGTTTTCAGATAAAAGTCAGAATTCATAATTTTTTCTCAGAATTCTGAAATGTTCCAAAAGTCAGAAATTATGTTTATTACATTTCTTCTCAGAATTCTGAGATTTTCAGAAAAAAGTCAGAAATATATATTTCTCAAAATGTTCCTCATCCTCTTCAGTATATTCCAGTGTGATCTCCACATGTCCTTTTTCCTGTTCTTTGCTCTAACTGAGATTTAAAATGGTTCCAGTATCTGAACTGCATGGGAGGGTTTCACAAAATGAGCTACTTTATCTCAATTCCTAAGCAGCTTGTTTTTCCCTGAGTTTCATCAATAAAACAAACGTGCAGCCGGTGCAGAAAACGCTCACCTGAACGGATCCATACACATCTCTACCCTCCACACTGAGACCAGGTTATATGAGTAGAATACATGTGGAGGGTGTTGTATTAAATGAAGGATCACACTGCCAAACATACATATTTTTACATGTGAAATGGGAGTATGGAAAACATGTTATAAAGTTAGATATTATATAATAAATCCACTGAAGTAAAGAACACTTTTAAGGTGGGCATCGTTTTGGCTTCCTCGGTGAACGGATAATCAAAACACCGAAAAGTCTGGAGGACTTGAAGTAAAGGTGGGTCAGCATTTATCAACAGCAACACTTTATGAAAACATCCTTCTTATGTTTGAGTTATTATCAAGAATGTTGTCAATTTCTCATGAATGTGTAGCATGTGAGCTGAGGTAATACAATGACCCTGACTGAGCACCACTAACAGACAGTAGATGCCTTTTCGTCGGAGGACTGCGCACATAAACCATCATTTTGTTGACACCACAATCTCACAGGTTATAAAATATGTTATTTCAGATATCTGGAATGATCCATCCCTAATTTCTCTACCAGGTTATAAAACATATTTCTGTTGTTGTGCTCCCAGAAGTAGAAGAAGCTGTGTCGGCATGTTTTTCTGCAGCGAGGATATCTCCAACCCCCCAAACACTAATTGGTTCGGCTGCCACTAATTGGAAACTGAA